TTTAAATGTTTGTTTTTGTTTTGTTTTTTTCTATGCGATGATTGGTTCCCTGCTTCGGGAACCGATTTTTGCTTTACGACGATCAGCAAACAGCTGATCGTCGGGTTTCAAAATGGCCACCAGATGAAAAAAATGCCCCCCACTGTTTTTTAGGACTGATTTTTCGCACTACAGGAAAAAAATGCCCCCCCACTGTTTTTAGGACTGATTTTTTGCACTACAGGCACCGAAAATGGCCGCCCCATAGAGGATCTTCGCTGGACGAGCAGGTATTCAGCCCCCTGGAATGTACTGAATGGTTTTCAATGTGTTTCAATGGTTTTTTTTATAATTTCGTTTGACGACGTTTTCACTCTACAGCAATTTCGCTGGAACGAATTAACATTGTCAAGTGAGGCACTACTGTATATACAAAGTGGCAGAGCTGAAGCGGCACAGCTGAAGTGAGTAAAAACAGTGACAACAAACTTAAATCTTATAGAATGATTCAGCAAAAAAGGCTGTTAAAGAAAAACAGTGCAATGTGTTTCCACAGAAATTTGCTTTCACTTACTAGCCTATAACCATACAGAACATTATGTTAATTGTGATAAACACAAACAGTTCTATGTAATGTGGATCTCCTAGCAATCACCTCCAGCAAGCAACATTATTTAAACTGAAACGTACATACATATTATCTGTAGAAAGGATCTCCTCTCCTCAATGCATAAATATGAAAAGTTTGTTAACTGTGACAAGCATCCTATTGAGCCTCCGCTGAGTGGAAATTCCCAACAATGCAAAACATAGGATTATGTTATTTTTGCAAGAGTCAAGTCACCATTAAGCAAGTTATTCAAGCTTTATTTGTACCAGTGGGATGACCCTGCATTACTACACTGAGAGGACTTCCCACTCAGTAGGCTTAACAGGACACCAGCATACATCTTGACATCTGAATTTACTAATAATCTCATCTCACTAATCTTTATCAACCAGGCCCATACACACACCAGGCCTTTTCTGCTTCCATTTATTTCTCCATGCCAGTTTGCATGAAAATTGAGTTGAACCTAAGATACCTGAATTGGAAACCTTTGTACCTCATAACCTTCTACTGAGAATTGGAGCAGTATCCATCTGTAACTTGTTTAGAATGCACAAGGAAAGCAAGGCATAGATTATAACTAATCTATATATCTGAAACCCTGGAGAGACACTGCTTATCAGAATTGGCAATACTGGGCTAAATGGAACAATGATATGACTCAGTTTAAGGCAACTGTACTTGTGTACCTTACCTCAGGAGGCCACAATCTCCCCAAAAAGCTATAAAACACATTTCTTTTCATAAAATAAGCATGGAGACAACTTTATAAATAACAATCCAACCCTCAGTATAATCATAATGCTACTTTAAAATATGTTGTTCTAAGTATACACATATCAAGCAAAAAATGGAAAAGTGGTCCAACCAGTAACCAATTAGGAATATACATGGGGGGGGCAGAATTAATGGAATACATATTCAAAGATGCATCACTTATTATTAGTACATTCTAGACCTTGGTAAAATGATAATGTCTGTGTTATGTGCCATACATTTGGGACTGGCTTATGAAAGCCCTAGTAGGCTTTCCAAGGTAAGTGAGATACTCAAAGAGTGGTTTTTAGCAATGTCACACCCAACCCCTATGAATCTCTGTGGCTGAGCAAGGATTCAAATCCAAGTCTGGAGTTCTAGTCCACTATTCTATCCACAACACCACACTCCATATATTAAAATAACAATTACTTGTAAAAAAAAGAGAAATAAAATGCTTCACAGAACTCACAAAGAGGTAAATCAAGAAATATATAAAAGCCATTTAAATATGTGGATAGAAACAACCACTTACTTAGACTTCCAAAGATCTGCTTTGAATTATTCTATGATTCTATTTCATCTGCTGCAGAACATAATAAAGAGGGTGCAGTTGCACTCATGTCCTACTAGGGGGCTCTGCACAGTCAACAGAAAGCCACCTGAAAAACCTTTTAAGAGTGTGATTTTCTGATAATCATCAGAAAAGGCCCTTCTCTTGCTTCCATCACCCTCACATTTGGTGAGGACATGAAAGAGGGCCTTATCTGTCACTGCTCTTAAGCAGTAGAACTCTCTCACAGGTGAGGCCAGACATTTTCCCCCTCCGTAATTAGCCGACTAAGAGGGATTAAAATGATGTTACTGTTTTTTTCTTGCACTGTCAAGTCAATTTTGACTTACAACGAACTTTTTCCAAGGTTTTCTAGGTAGTGAATACTCAGAAGTAGCTTTCCATTCTCTTCTTCTGGAGGCACAGTGTGAAACTGAACTCCCAACCTCTGGTTCCAAAGCCAGATATCTAACTAGCTGAGTGAGTCAGCCAAATTTGTTTTCTTTTTAAGTTTTAAATATTGTTTTAATATTATTCATTTTAATAACTGCCACTGTTATGTGCCATCAAGTCAGAATCGACTTATAGCAATGTAATATGGCTTTCAAGGTAAGTGAAATGCTTAAGGAGTGGTTGTACCCGTTCTAATCCCACAATGAGTTTCTATGGGTGAACAAGGATTTGAACACTTGCCATCACTACTATCCACTATATCACACTGGGTTCCCAGTTTATGGAAGGTACTGCACATTCATCTAAAATGACTAAAACACAAAACAACTGTTGTGAGTTTAATGACTCTTGTTTACTCAAATTGTGACATTTCAAAATCTTCTCTTTGCCTCCTGTGAGACAGAAGGCGAGAGGGATACCCCATTCGTTGGAGAGCCATCCCTTCCCCACAACAAGAATATGGAGGGGAGACCTCAGCCAGTACCAGAGCCTATGGCAGAAGCTCAGTGGGGGAAAGAAATAGAGGAGCTGACTGAAGAGATACAGAGAGTAAGGATGAGAGAGGTTCAGGAGGAAAAGGCGGGACAGGGGAGGAAAAAGAGGGTGGAGTTTGAGGCAGCCACAGGGAAGGCAAAAACGAGAGAGAGTCAGTTGCCGCCCTGTTGGGAATGGGTGTGGACGGAGGATCCCTGGACGGGATTATGAGAGATACAGAGTGCCTAAGGAGGAGGCAGATTACAGAAGGAGAGATCCCCCCCAGACCCTCTTATTGGGGAGAAGCTGAGGCTAGAGAGTGGAGGAGGCGGCTGAGAGAAGAGAAAGAGAGTGTAAGGAGAGAAAGGCTGGAATGGAGAATAAAAAAGATGAGGAAGAAGAGTTACAGGGATGGCCCTGGGAGGATCAAGACCCTGAGACACGAGTCCTGTAGAATGGCGATCGGGAGGATGAGACTGTGCCCTTGCTGGAAGGTTCGACGGGGCAGACCGTGAGAGAGTGGGTCCCCACCGATTTACCAGGACCATGGGATAATAGTTATGGTAACCCATTTCTGTTTGACGATTGGAAGCCCCTTCCAGACCAGTTGGCAGAAGGAGAAAAGACTCACAATCATGTTACAGACACTTGTTTATTGTTAAATCCACCAATAAATCTTTCACCTGTTTTGAAGCAAACAAAAATCTAATGATTTCTTTGAATGTGGAGCCAAAAGTTGAACCCTCACATCTCCACCAACCACTTATTCATTTAAAGCATTCTTCTGAAGTCACTTACTTTGAATTTGGGGAAACAAGTAAAATACACTTATTCATACCTTTTTGTCCAGAGGGTTTAATCAACTACTGATTTCTAAAGTATGTTTGTACACCCTGCATATAACAATCGATAGCAGACAATGAGGATAGATTGTGTGTATTACACCAATATGCACCATTACCAGTACAGGGCATCATTTTTTTTTGAGCAGAACACCACAAGCTTTTGGTTAAATGTAGGAACCAGTTTTCCAACCCTGTGCCAGCCCTGCCAACTCCAGATTGAAAAGAAAGCTCACACGTTAATTAAACAATGCACTTTTGTTTCCTTGCTTTTCCAGGACTTTAGAAAGTGCTTGGAATATTGATAGTTACTATTTGGAAAAAGGCATCTTCTTCTGTATTAAGTCCTTTCTTACTATTTTTGAGAACTTCTGTAAAAAGCAGACAATAAGAACCCTGTCATACATTTAAAGGAGAGACTCAAATCACTCCCTGTACTACTAGTTCCTATTCCATTTTAGAAAAATCCTACACACGTTTACATGAAAATATTCAGTGCAGATTACTCCCAGTTAAATGTACACAGCATCATAGCCCCAATTAGGTCATAACTTTAGTGTGTCAGTTTCTTAAAGTCATCATAACACTCCATATGTGATGACAGGATGAGTCATATTCTTTCTCTTTCTAATGGCACAAACAAGCCAAGCCACCTACATATTTGAATAATACCCACAGAAACGGAGAGGCGTAAAGTAGCCCAAAGGGCAAGGAACCCATAGCAGAACACTCCAGAAAAGAGACCATTCCCTACCGGGAAAGGGAAGCCAAAATCGGTCAGGAAAAGACTGGCTCAACCGGGGCAACCAGGCTGGCCCCTCGCCTTAACACCATAAGAGTCGCTCATTCAAGTTGAAATATACTGTACAGAGATTTCAAGGTTGGAGCCACCTCCAACCTTGAAATCTCTATTTCAACTTGAATGGGTAGGAAGCAGTGGCGTACTAGTACCACTTCACGTACTGTACAGGTAAATATTGACGGTTACCCCTTGAGGCACCTCCACCTTTCCCAAAAGGCATCTCTGACAGCGCCGGGTAAAGGGGGTGGGGGGGAAGCGATCCTAAGACATGAAAATGAGCAAGCTCGAAGAAGCAACGCCTGTCTTCCGTGAGAGGAAGGGGAGCCAGTGTGCCCAGAGAAGGGGAACGGCAGCCCCCCACCCCACCCAGCATAGGGACAGGGCTGTCCCACGGTTTGCAGTGTTTAAGGGGGGGGGAACCTCAACCGTCCATACTCACCATCCACGGTTTTCTTCTTGAAAAGTGAAGCCATGGCACACGGTTTGCAGTGTTTAAGGAGGGGGGGGGGAACCTCAACCGTCCATACTCACCATCCACGGTTTTCTTCTTGAAAAGTGAAGCCATGGCAGCGGCCCGGCGGCGATCCCCCGTCGCGCTCCGGGGCTCCTTCTCGCTCCTCAGGTGACCAGGAAGCAGCTTCCGCGGCCCGAGAGAAAACGCCCGCCCGCCTTCCTTCCGCACTCGGCTGAGGCGAGCCCCGCTTGGGAGGGACCGAGAGCCGTCGTGGGGAGGAGGAGGAGGAGGAGGCGGGCTCGGTTAAGCGAGAGACCGTCCTTCCCTTCCGCCCAGCCTCGGCCTCGCGTCCTTTTTTCCGCCCAGCAGAGGGCCCCCCCGCGTCAGTGGCGCGCCGAGTGCGGCGCCCGACTCCGTGACGCGCCCTCTCCGGTCTACACGTGAAGGGGGCTGCTCACGTGGGTAGCGCGCTTACACGTGATGGAGCGCCTCTGCAGTGGTCCGCCGGCAAACCTTTCATCTCCCTAGCAACTTCTTTCCTTGCCCCGCCCCCGCCCCTCCTTTGCAGCTGGGTCTCCCTTGACCGCTGAAGGCCAGGTCGCAGTACTTGGCGTTGCAACAGGTGTGGTTGGCAATAGAGGGTCGCTGCGCGGGCAGTTTATTTCCCCTGAGACCTTTTGGGAGCATGACCGGCGCTAAGGGGGAAAGTAAAGTCTGGGGTGGTGAACAAGTGACGTCATAGTTCCTCCTCATTCAAAAAATCTTACTGCTTGGAGCCTTTGAGTCCTCCTGTTTTCACCATAATGCAGGTATAGGATCTGGCTAACCCTAAACCCGTCCCTCTTAGAAACGACTTCTAATTCTTAAACTCTCTGCATATACAGTACTTGCAGGGGGGCAGAGCTTCCCTTGTTAAAAGTTGTTGTGACAGGAGAGTGGCTTCCACACTTTTAAGACTAACAAGATTTATTTGCATGAGCTCTTGCAACCCCCTTCTTCATATAAATGGGGCACAATAATCAAGCCACAGGCTTATACATATGCTGGTTCTGATTATGGAAACGAGGAGAAATGAAATAAAATACAGAAATGACAGCTCTGTTATTAATATTGATCATAAACATTCAAAGGACTGGTTTGCATAAAAATTCCAGCAATGTTAATCTGTGCTCATGACCCGTGTTAATACACTCTCCATTTTTTGTATTTTCTGTATTTTCTATATTTTACCTTATTCCATTCTAACTCAATAACTGGAACACACACATATATATACACCTGTGTCTTGAGTATTGTGATCTATGCATCATTATGAAGACATAAATTTATGTCTATGAAAGTTTGTGCCAAACAATTGTTACACTTAAAAATACTGCTACCTCACTTGGGGGAAAGGAGATTCTAAGTAGAAACAAAGATGTAACACAATTGCAAACAGGCACAAAATAATGTGGTGGTTTGGGCATGCTTAGCATGTAGGCTGCCTTGTCTGTGTGCATTATGTGAATATTTCCATTTGCTGAGTGGACAGCTGGGAAGGGAGTCCATGGAAGCAGGCTGTAGAGGTGGAGAAAACTGCTTCAACGACTATGTGCAATGAGTAGGATGATTTTGCCATCCTTGTACAGTATTCTCTAAGCCCCACACTTCACCCATGAATAGCCACTGCTCATGGGTGTAGTGTAGCATTTACTGGAACTGCTCGATAGCCCCGTGGTTTAGGCTGTTTGGCTGTGACTCAAGAGGTTGGGAGTTCAGCTCTGCTTTGCCTCATTGATAGGGGCTGGACTCAATGATCCATTAAGGGATCCCCTCTGCAGTTCTAAGGTATATTATTATTTACAGGATACACTGTCATTCTGCCTGCCAGTTTTATTTAGTTCCCTAAAAAGCTTCATCTAATTGTGAGTAACTTTGCTAAAAAACATTTCAAGTGGATTAGGTACTGATTTTAGAAATAATATGCTTCAATTTTGAAATGGCCTTGGAACATTTGTTTTATTACTGTCAAACCTTTACTGCTAAGCAATGTCCTGTGAAACTGAGCATACTAGACTCCAAACCCTGTGGTGAAAAGTAGTGGTCTTGTGCAGAAGCTGACTCTCTTTGCCGAAATGTAATACCTGTCTCCCTTGCCTGTGTCAGAGATGTTTAGACATGCAAGTTTCCCACCTTGATAATGCTGTGCTATCTACCACACAAAGCTAACATGCTATGCAAATGCCAGGCAGCTCTTCTGGAAAGCAGCATACAATATTTCTATGCCAGATTTGTCTGATGTTCATGATTCGCATGAAATATGTTCCTTTGAAGGAGCAGCGTAGTTCACCGTGTGAATTTTCTGCTGTTGTGTGTGTATAAAACAATGTTCCTCCTTTTGCACTTTACATTTCTTTGATGGGGGATATATTGTTGATAAGGAAAGGGAGTTGCTATCCAACCAGTGCTGTCAGAAAGACTGAGGTTCTTGTTTGCTGCTGCCACATTTAGCAGTGACTTCCATAATAAGATCATGAATCTTTACCATTAGTATATTGTAAACAAAACAATAAACATTAAATAGCATTATACAGCATCTTGAGCTAATCAGCTCATATAGATTGTAGAGCCAGTAAAACACCATAAAATGCACATAGTAATGTTATCCCATGACAAATAACATTCACATGTTACTAAAGGTCCATGCAATGAACATTGTTGACGAATGTGAGTGAATGGTCTAAATGGATAGCCGAATATAAACTGCAGAATCAGGATGGGTTTTTTGGGAGGAGTGGAAATGAAAGGGGCAATTAAAAAGTGAGAGATTACATAAAATATACTTTTCTCTATGTTAGAAGCAAGTGGTTTCTTCACAGATATAGAAAGAAATCATAGTTATGCATTATTAATTATTACAAAATACAGACTTATGCTGGAGGAGAATTATGTTTCATATTATAATAGCTTTATCAATCTTACACACAAACATTTTTGTCTTATAGTTTCATATTGCAATTGTATCATGATGCTGCACACTGATATATGCAGGCAAATGCCCATTCTACAGTGAAATACAATGTAATTTTCCTGGAAGCAATATAGCATTCTTTTTTTTCCTTTCAAAAATCAAAACAAGTTTTCATTGTTCTTTGTAAAATCTTTTTATTAATCTGTATCTAGTTGTTATCTTTAAAATATCAAGAACAAAAATAAAATATTAGTGGATATCATGACATAATTACCTTGATCATTAGAAATACTCTGCTAAGTAGACTTCAGTGGCCAGGTCATTTTCATATTCTGATATCTTGCTGGAAGAGTACATTCTTGGCAGTTTCACTAGGCAGCTTGTTTATTGCTGGAGAAAAGCTCTTCATTTTGTAACGTTGTGCCTTCAGAGGACTGCACAAAACAGACACCACAGCTTTGTAGCCACCCTTGTTTTGAACAATTTTTTGTCTAGCAGTCCTATTCCAAACCTTGATCCTTGAGACTTGTAGATCATCGTAGCTGCAAGAAGGCATAAGGAATTAGCATATACTGCACAAAGTCGCTACAGTAACAAAAGTGGTTGTTTAGGTCCTGCTGTATATTACTCATAGTCCCTTGAAAACCCTGTTGCTATCAAGTCTTTGCTATATAGAGGTGCTCCCATGTAGCTGTCTCTGCTGACTAAAGTTGTTTTGTGCTTCATGAGTGCTATATATGCATTTCCATTCTGTTGTTACATGTCCCACATCTTCAGAATGGTGTGAGCTTCCAATTCAAATAAAACATTGAGCTGCTTTTTTCAGTTCTGACACATCTCCATTCATTTCCTCAGGCTTTGCATGATGCCTCAACACTACACTTGATATTAAAGGCTCTCACTGATGATAATGAAACAGTGCTGACTCTTCCTGATGTGCTAGCTGAAAGATCTGATCTGGCTTTTAATGCATGGCAACATCACTTGTTGTGATGATACTTTGATGCTCCAATTATAATATGTTGTAATATGTTTATTTGCTGGGTTGTGATTTTTGAGGATTGATTTTCTAAACAGTTGCTAAGAGTGCAAGCCATTAGGAATTAGCCTAACTAAATACACTTACTCGAGTAACCATCTATTCAAAACCGAGACTTGATCAGATTACACCAAAATTAAAAAGCAAGTATAAAAAAAGCTAAAGTCATTAGAAAAACAGACCAAATCTTTTAAAGAGATTTTCTCAGGAATCAATAAACTTCCCCAAACCTGCCTGAATAAAAATATCTTTGCCTGCTAGCAGAGTAACAACAAATGGCCAGTTTAAACATAAAGAAAGCCCTCTCTCATGCCCACCAAATGTGTTTGTAAGATAGGCAAGCCAAGAAAAGATCTACAAGATCTCAAGAGAGCTAGCAGGATTGTGTGGAGAACATGGACCCAGAGAGCGTGGGTCTAAGCATAGATAAAGATGTGCTGTTGACTTTTCTTGGTTGATTAAAAAATAAACTTCTCTTGAATCTGGTGCCAAATATATTTTGGTTTATATAACTAGCAAGAGCATTTACAAGATAGCAGTTGAGTGAATGAAGTTCATGGTTTGACACTTACCTCTGATGTTAGAGGGCCTTTGGTAGGCAAGATTCCTTTAGGTGGACTAAACCACAGAAGCCTGTGCTGCAGGGTCAGAGGACCAGCAGTCATAAGATCGAATCCACGCGACAGAGTGAGCTCCCGTCACTTTGTCCCAGCTCCTCGCCAACCTAGCAGTTCAAAAGCATGTAAATGCAAGTAGATAAATAGGTACCATCTTGGTGGGAAGGTAAAACAGCGTTCCCTAGTCACGCTGGCCACGTGACAATGGAAACTGTCTTCGGACAGGCACTGGCTCTATCTATGGCTTGAGTCGGACACGACTGGACTAAAAATGTCAAGGGGAACCTTTACCTGCATTAACATCATGAGACTAATAATAATGAGCAGTATTTTTGTAAGATAAGTAGTGGGCTGGGGTACACACCCCACCCCATTTTGGTCAGTGTCTGAATATGAGCACACAGGTCAGGATCGAACCTGTTCTGTGTCCGTATGGTGATAATGCAGCCTGATTATTCATGTCAGTATTTGGCTATGACTACTTTGAGAAATAGATTTTGGATTTGCTGTGTAATTAGCATGGGTGAATTCAAAGTATTTCACAATGATCACATGATGCAAAAGTTAATGTGAATCAACCTGGCCCTTTTTGTTTCTGATTTGGAATTTTTCTCCTGCTGCTAGGAACATCTACTTTTTAAAAGCTGGCACAATTCATTTGGTGTTTTCTTGTGTGATAGTTTGTTTCATTCTACAAAAGGATAGGTCTGTGACTCTGGGTGGTGTTTTGGTGATATATTAAGCTGGAGCATGTTGTTTTGGGACAGTGGGAAAACCCACCCCCTCAATCTTTTTCTCTTGTTACACTGAAGTATTTTTTTAATTTT